AACCCAGAGTATAAAAAAAAAAAGTACTGCAAAAGGTGGCGCTCGTTGCCATGGCGACGTGACAGCTGTCACCAGGGGTTGGATTTGACAGAGGAAATGGCGGCCCCGCAGTTTTCACACCTCTCACTCACCGCTGCGGCTTCCTAAGACATCGACACCCCAGACGTGACACCCGAATCACTTAGCATCAGCACCCGCTCACACATGCCACACACACACACACACACACACACACACACACACACAAAAATAAATTCTAATGGAAATCAATCTGAGCCATTCAACAAATGTCAACTTTTCAATATCTTGTCATCCGTTTCCAAAGCCGACTCTCGTTTCATCGTCGATTGTCTGAATCTTTCACTGAGACTCACGTCCGTTGGCGTGATCCCGACGCGCCGGAAGTGCTGAGGCTGAAGTGACGTCCCGGCGAGATCGGAGACTAATTCTTGCCCCCGTGTTCCATCTTTTTATAGCTCAGATGGATGTTTACCTCGTCCCTTGCACTTTGACATATCTGTTTATGTCTCCCATCTTGATGAAACACCTCGAACAACGACTGCTGGTGTGAAGATGTGAGTTCTGTTGTTTGTGTGATTGATGTGAGGCAGCGGATAAGAGGTGGTAATTACTGTCCTTTTGATCAGGAAGGGGAGAAATAGCAGAGATATAATAAATAAGTTTGCTGAATGAGCTTTTAGCGTGTTATGTTTGCTGCGCACATGTGGGTGTACAGACAAATATCACTGGATTACTTTGATTCTAGATGAATCTTAAAAATGTGATGAAACTCAGGGAAGTTCTGAAAGCAGATTTATGGATGTTTATTCAGCCGGAGGGGTGAGGACGGGTTTTTTATTGAAGTGATCGATGTGACACTCGGAGCGGTCGTGTAAGAAGTGGCAGGTGAAGTGGTTTTGAACGGGGGAGAAAGAAACGTTCATGACCAGAGGTTTTCAAACACCCAGCTTCCTCCGCTGCAAGTTAAGATGATTTGATGTTTGTGTCGTTGACAGGTTTTCAAATATCTATATTTCAATTCAATTATCCAGTCTTTCAAAAAGTACGCTGTCAGGACATTCTGATTCCTAGTGATTTAAAAAATACATGTTTCATAGTATTTAGCATGAAAGGCTATTTTTGACATTTATAAATATTCCTTATCTCTGAGGGCTTTTCACACTTATATTCAAGTTTATTCAGAGCAGACCTCACAACAGTTCTCATTATATTTGGGGAAGTGGAAAACAGGTAGTTGGCAGAAGTTGTCCCGCTTTGGCAAATTGTCCTCCGTTAAAAGTCCGGCTAAATTAGCTGTTAACAACTACCAGTGGATTAATGTGGTCGTGAAGAAAATCTTTAAAAACATCATTATCCTCAGGGGAGTTCTGGAGCCATAAGGACAATCTTTTGTCTATAAATTCAAATGTATGGATGTTTATTCACAGTTAGACATCACAGATAATTTGATCCCATTATATCTAAAACTATGTGTATCACGTCCGTGGGTTCAGACTGGACTGAGTTATGACTCACAGCAGGAGCGCGATGTCTGACGCAAATTGCAGCGATCAGGAACCGAGGGCTTCGCACCTTAATTGCCTCTGTGAGCCGAGTCTCACAGGCGCCGCTGAAGCTCTAACTGCTGTCCACCACGGCAAATGAGTCTAATGAAACTACAGAAAAATTCCTGTTGCTTTTAGAACAATGGCATGCACCTTTGTCTTTGTCCCCGCTTCACCTCTCTCACTCAGAAAACCCGGCGCTCTCGGCTCACCGGCATTCACGCGCGTCTCGGGGAAGCTGAGCCTCCGTGGGGACGCTGGCGGAGCAGATGGGGGCAGCAGAATGCCAAGTCCACTCATGTATGTAATGGTTACACTGAAGTGATTGTACAACATGACCCACCACACCATTCCCACTGCCCCTGCCCCCTCCACCCCATCATAATATCAGTTAATATTATGGCAGTAGACAGACGCACGGATGATCCGTAACAAGTGGCATCTCTAGAGAGAGCCGGTGCCACGAGACGGCCTTAATTAGGCCTGAAAAATGGCAGGTTGTTCCATCCGTGCGCTCCCTGTTAATCTGTCCTACCGATCCACAGAGTCAACTCGGATCCCAACTGGCAAATATTATTTCATCTTTGTCGCAGCTGTGAATAAGTCAATGGGCGTGACAGCCGGCGGGTGGTCGCAGAATTTTTAGCAAAGCTTCCAGGGCAGGAGAGGCAGCGAGTACAGCCGCCAGTTCGGTGTTCTCCGACCAGACATAAAGCACACAACAGGAGCATTTTAATTAATCAGGAATCAGGAGGTGGGTGGTGGAGCGCACATCCGACAGCTAACAAGTCTGCTAACAGACAGCCGACACCTCGTTGGGATTCAAACGGTGTTTTCACATTCAAATGTCAACCTCCTTCGTCCCCTCTTTGCTCTGTCTGTATTTTTCGGGTGTAAATTTCATCGTGAAATTTTCATTTACATTTCATTTCGCCTGTCTTCATTATTCAGTCTGAAAGCACAATGTCCCACCGGTACACTTCACTGTTGCCCCAACAGACGACTGTATTAGACTAGAAACTGCGAATGTGTAGAAAGTAGAATTAGTGAAAAAAAAAAGTAACACTATAAGTTAAACAGATGTGAAATATATTCTAGACTTTACTCAAACAAAATTTTATGTCCCAATCTTTACAATAAGTTTTTATTTCAAAGTTTCAATGAGTTTCAGGCATTTTATAGATTAAATGTCAGAAATCACATGTGAATACAAAAGGTCAGTGTATTCATTTATCCATGTAAACTATTGGGTTTTACATAAATTATAATGTCAAATTAATATAACACAGAATATCCAATATCATATTTTGTGAAAAAATATATTTGATGAATTTCTCTCATATTTAGTTTTTTTTGTTTGAATATGTAATTACATTTTACTCATTACGTTTTGAACCATATTTCTTTTTTTTATAACACATTTGCATATTGATATTTTTAAGTTTCAGAATTTTTATGGAAATCGGTTCATTTCAATTTCACATGTAAAAACCATTAGAAAGGTCACAGGCAAGAATTTAAATCGACAATTAATGATTTTATTCCTTAAAATCTGCCTCTTTTCACTTAAAAATTACCTTTGTAATAAACCTGCCTATATTTTTTTTCAACTACTTTTTTATAACTGACTGTAAAGCTAACTTGTGAGCTAGCAGGCTTCGTAAAAATGCATTTATCAAATTATTTCACTCAAGTTTAACCTCAACTTAGATACAAATCTTTCCACACACACACACACACACACACAGGCTTTGAGCTCCAGCAGGCACATTTATGACTGCACCACTTTAGACTATATGGAATTTGAATGCAGCTCGTCAGCTCGCTGGGTGGATGAAGATACAGGTCTCCGTCACCACCGGCTCCGCACTTTACAGCAGAGTAGCTCCTAGCTACACTTGATGGGGGGCGCTCATAGCTCAGCTATGGTTGGCATTGAATAAGCAATCTGTCTGCTTCAGCTGAGTAATTACAGATTTGCTGTACCTTTTCCTGCTGATGATGCTGTCATGGGCCAAGGCTGTTACTGTGTCCTGGGGGCCGCTTTGATTGCTGGGGAATGACTTTGTTTCAGTATTGTCATAGTCTCCGTGCCATAATTTATCAGGCGCTAGTGCGGAAAAATGTGCAAAGTATCTGCTGAATGTGAAAGTCAGGGCGTATTGATGAGCGATTGATAGTTGCTTGTGTTGCCTTAAATTCAGTGTCACTGAGCGACAATCTTCTGAGGATAAGTGGAGAAATCTTTAACCGAAAATAGACATTCAGCTCTTCAGCTTCATTCTTCAGTAACTACTAATATAGTAGAGTTGATGCTTAATCCACAAAATGCTGCCCCCAGGCTTAACTGTGATGAATTCAATTTAAAATTAGCAATATCAAGATACCTCGAGGTAGTTGGAATTGTAGATGGTGCAACTTTGCTATTTTGTGTTTTTAACAAAACTAAAATGAGACTAACAATTAACATTGCTAAAAAAAAAGTCAACACAGCAAACAATGACTTCAGAATAACCTCAATGAAAGAACAGCCACATTGTGGTCAAGCAAAACGCACACGCGGAAAAAAAAAACTAATGCACACATGAAATATTATCTTTCAGTTTTGCAAATGGAATCATTTCCTATTTTTGTTCATCCGACCGCGAGCTCAGTGGCAAACTCCGAAATATGAATGCAAATAACATATTTAAAAAGGGCCTAATAGCCATTTCCAAAACAATGCATCATTCTGATCAATTGCACTTATTCAGGTCTACACGCCTCCTTTACCCTCGCCTCTGATTGTATTTTCCAAATGCCAAGAGCAGACGAATCGCTGCCACAGACGCACAAGTCATTTAGCAACAATGAGGCCAAACGCTAAACACAGGGAATATGAGGTGCACGGCTACGGCTTCTTTCCCTGCACCAAACCTCCATTCTCTGAAATCTCCCACGTTCCCCTCTTCACGATATTGTGATGCATTTTCTGCCCTTGTGCCCTTCTGCGGTGATGGTCTAATTACAAAGGGCTTCCGCACGGAAAGTCAAACCGTGGCAGAACACTCCTCCATCCCAGCATGAGATATCGCATTACGCTGTGATATTATTGTGGATTAAGACCGCAGGCAGAGTCAAGCACTGTCATTAATTCAGTTGGCTCTGACAGTACGGAATGAGAGCAACATCGCTAATGAACAATAACACCTACAATACCTGCTATTAAATCTTAAGGATGTGTCTCATACTAATGATGCTGTTTCCCTGGGATGACCTGGAGGTGTGGTGAGGATATGTGCACAGTGCACTTGTTTTGAGGAACAAGAAAGAGTTTTAATGGCTTTGAGAGTCAGCGGGCTGTCTCTGCGAAGCAAACTTCAAGCGATGGAAGGGAGTGGGGAAAAAAAACCGAAGGCAAGCTGGACCAACTGCAGAGACATTTCTGAGCCTTACCTGTCCTGGCATCGCGTTTTCACAGAGGAGAGTTTCATAGTCTATGGCAAAGACCGGCGCGTTATCATTTATGTCCATGACTGTGATGAGAGTGATGCCTTTTCCGATTTGGGTCGGGTCCTCTGAAAAGAGAAAGAGAGAAGAGAGACCTCGTTTATGTCACAGTCATTTTCCCTCAACTTATCCTTGATGCATTTGACTAAATAATTGAATATTAATCTTTCTCATGTTTTTTATTAATCACAAAGGAGGAAAAAAAAAAAGAGCTGCTGTGATGAAATATGCAGCGTGTGCTTCTAGCAGCTGGTGTCCTCTTTGCTTTGGAGAAGCCAAAGTGATTACACTCGATGCAAGCTTGTTGTCGGGGGGGGGGGYGGGGGGAGGCTGCGTGGGCAATCAGTGGGCTTCACGCCTCTGTCTGCCTGACATGCACTGATGGCTAAATGGCTGCGTCTGAGTGCAAGATGATGATTTAGCCTGGCGTCGCCTCCATGCCAGCCAGAGATGACGCGCTGACATTCGGCCCGGCTGATTTGATGGTGATAAAAAGGACGCGCGGAGCCTGGGGCCACAGACTTGTTGTCATTGGCGTGGTCTGGGCCGAGCGGATGAAATGTGAGTGACTGCAGCTGAAATGCACAACATCCCTCAACCAAAGAGTCCCTGCACCCTCTTGAGTTACAAAGAACCCATTTACTATAAATACTGTCATAAGGCGTGCAGGGCAGTGAATGTTGCTGCCAATCCATGAACTCCAAGATGTTCCCGGCTGAAAACATCGGCCGAGCGTCACAATGTGTCAGCAGCCAGTAGCTCATGCGTGAGGGACTGTCGTGACATTTTATACGGCTATTATTACACGCTGCCATCTCTTTGTTGCTATATCAGGCGAGAGCTCACACTCGGGAATCAACCGCACGGCGTGTCTACGTGTCGTTAGATGTAAATAAAAACACGTCTTTGAAGCCAAGAGTGATGAAAAGAAGTTTTGAGAAAAAAAAATAAAATATGAATACCCTTTCTCACTCTGTGCTCAGTCTGAAGATGTGAAAGCAGAGGAAGTGCCAAGCTGACAGGTTGTCTTTTGTAACTTATACTGATGTGATGCAGCTGTCGAGAACTGCTCGGCAGATCGTGTGCAGATGATTGTTGTCGATTGCGTGACGGTGGTGAAACGATAGGAATGCTGAGAGAGAGAGAGAGAGAGAGAGAGAGAGAGAGAGAGAGAGAGAGAGAGGGGCACTCGCGTCCTTGGAAGCATCGAGAGATGAAAAAAAAAAAAAAGAAGACACGTGGGACTTCTTCACATCACATTAACATAGTTCACCCGTGGGTGAGATCGCCCACCCTTAGTCAGCATCTCGTCCCCGCGGCTCAAAGCGACATGGAGGTCAAAACGACCGCCCTGTACGTGAATTAACATTCCCCGACAGCCCGACGCGACCCCAACGATTGTGTTGTCCACAGCAGAGGAAGGTTTGGATATTATGAAGAGGATCTGAGGTTTCATGTATTTACACAGGTTACAAACTAAACCGCTAACCCCCCCCCCCCCACGGCAGAGTCACCGCTCAAAAAACGTCATTTTTTAAACAATGGGTGTTTGGATATCACACAGAGACGAGGCAGTCTTCATATTTCTAGAGTGAGTTGATGAAAACTCCGACTTCTTGACTTGTATTTAATATTTTTATAATCGACTTGCTGATTTCTATACAACATTTTAAGTTGAGGCCGAAGCTAAAAGAACCTTGACATCAAAGACATGAACGTATTGCTTGGTGTGCAGATTCTTTTTTAAATGAAATTTATGAAATAAAATAAAATAGTGCTTCAAGTAAACTTACGGCTCTCAATGGCGAAGATGGTGAGGTTATGGACCGAGTTGGCCTCCCGGTCCAGAGGCTTGGCTGTGCTGATGATCCCACTCAGAGCGTCCACGTTAAAGAAGCGCTCCAAGTCCGTGTTCCTGTCGATGGAGTACCTGGACACAAACACACGACCATTACACTTTTAATTGTAGCTTTGAGAAAGTGGTATTGATCTGACACTCTAGTATTTTTCTCCTGCGTGCAAGGAAAGATGATTGTAGTTTTGTTCCATCGTCCTGCAAAACCTTCTGTTGATGAATTACAGACTTTAATCCATCAATGAATTTCAAGTTTCAAGTGGCACTTGAAATTCAGGAATTCAACAGGAACTTCATACCAAGAGTGAAACCCTATTCAATTTCAATGCAAGTGAAGGCTGTCTACTTGTCCCTCAGCACACAACACTGATCCAACCCTTTCAATACACAGCAACTAGAGAAAATTACAACTTCAATTAGCCTACATCCAAAGGGTATTATTGCAATGTAATTTGACTCTTGTGGCTGCATTAGTTCCACAATAATTTTAATTTCAACAGATGTAGTGCAATATATTGCCGCGGCTGATAACAGTCACAGGAGCAAAAAGAGGCAATTTACAGCTACAATGGTGCAGTAATTTGATTTTCTGATTAAGATTACTAACAATCCAAACAGACCGAGCATGAATACCGTGCAATATGCATTCAATTAATGCAGAATAGGTGGGATCTTGAGTGTGACACGGCACAGATGGGCAAGGCGAGTGCTTGTTTTGAGTAATAAATGCCACAGCACAAGTGTCGAGCCTTGACCCTCCTGCAGGAATGCCCTTCTCTTGTTCAAGATGGCATTTCACTTTTGCAAATGCTGCACTCCTTGGCCCTCCCACCATCTGGCGCCGTCTTTGTGAAAGCCACGCGGGGACTTTTTCAAGGGTCCTCGGATTCTTTGTGATTGCAGATAATGTGGAGTAGTTGACTGGATTAACTAATTAGACTTCTTTACTTTGAATTTTAAGTGAATTTATTCCACAGCACTAGAAAAACATTCAAAGTCTCCGCTGTCCGGTCGAACAGACAGAATATAAGTTTGAAGAATAGCATGTGAGTAAATCGTCAGTACCTGATGGCGCTGTTCGATGTGTCTGGATCGTGGGCGGAGACCCTCCCGATTGAGGTGCCCACTTTGGCGTCCTCCGAAATCACCATCTTGCTGAGCGGCGAGGAAAAGACGGGCGGCTCGTTCACGTCATCCACCGTCACTTTGACGGATGTCGTGTCGCTGAACGGGCCCAAGGTCAAGAAGTTGGAGTCAATATTCCTGTTTGTGGCTTCGACTCTCAAAGAGAAGCTGCTCTTTGTTTCATAGTCTAGAGGCTGGAGGAGACAGAAGAAGAATATGATCTTCATTTTGAAAATAAGAGACGTGCTATGAAGTCGAAAGACGTAGCCACTCCACATTTTCAGGCAGCCGAGGTATATATGTATATATTACCACTTTTATACCAAGATTAGCAATTAATCTACTGCAAAGTCAATGGACCCAAGTATACAGGCCTGTATATTCAGTGTTTTGTTTTTTTTGCCAGTATATAAACCAGTGCATCATCCATAGAAAGATGAGATATTGACCTCAATTAAGGCTGTAGACTCTAAACACCCATTACAGTTTCAAATGACTCAAACAAAGTCTTCTGATGTGTTATAGTTTGTGCCCTGACAGCAATTATATTGATTTTAAGAGCAGCACAGCATATTGTGAAAAGTGTTGTGAAATGAACGCTTTTGAGACATTTTGTCATTTTGTCTGGATTATCGAACTCCCCATTGCAACACATAATATACTTCAGGACACCATTGATTTGACACTTTCATTGTCAGCGACTCTCTCCCCGATGTTGTAATTGTCTGAGATTGCTGCAAAACAAACAAGGGCTCAAATTGGCCCATCTGACGCGATCTGCTAGTGCCCGACAATGTCTCTCGCTCTCACTCTCTCTCACAAGAGAGCCGCAGCGACGTACTGTCACATCCACGTGGCCTGTGGAGACCATCCTCTGACACCCTGCGAATGTGAAGTACGAGCTCCGAAGCATCTGAAAGTGAGGCAAGAATGTGCAACAAATTTCCTGTATAAATGAATCAGTGGCTTTGTTACACATTTAACTTGAGAAGTTTTATTTATTTATGTGGGTGGATGTCAATGACATTATTTATAGCATCTCGGTTCCCTTGGTGAGAGGAGTATTACAGTCTCTCTGTTCCCGTCATCAATCACCGCTGTGATCTCTGCGCTGTCTGTTGGTTCTGTAGATAGCGGCGTGCTCGGAGCTCGGGTGCCTGAACCCTTCCAGTGACCGCACTACTTCTATCAAAGCTGTTGGAGATGGTCACTGTTGATTTGGCATTAGTGATCATCACTTAATCCAAAGGTGCAGGAGACACTTTGAAACACAGTGAGACAGAGGAAGAGGCGAGAGGGAAACTAGGAGAGGCAGCTCCACTAATATACTCCAGTAAACAAGCAATATGCAGCCTGGAGCTCACAGATCTCACCGCATCTGGAAACATTTGCAGTTGCAATGATTTTTTTGATAATTTATGATTTTAAGAAATTACTTTAACGATAATGTCTCATTTCCTGTATCCAGGAAACTAATAATTCTGTTAAATTCGGCTCAATACTAAGTTTTTAAGATGAAAACATCACTGGACTCAGTGTTTTCCATTAATGATGTGGAATGTTACGACCAGCAGTTCTCTCTCTCTCATGCCAGAACTTGTCTTTCACTCTTCAGTCTGTGTACCTGTCACTTAGAATCTGGTGCAGCCTCAGTACCACCAGAGGTTGAATTAATTCTGTGGGAAACGGAAGATAAGGAGTTTCTCAATATTTTTCATTGATTTCTCAGAGAATAATTCATGGCTCTAGATTTTTCTTTTTTTTTAATCAGATGTATTTAGGCGACTGATATCCATGAGTGTGTGCAGATCTAGTGAATTTAAATGTGGTTTCATTTGGGGGCTGTTGAGCCTTGGTGGAGGTATCTGTATCCCAGTGCCATTCTAGTTTCACTTCTGAAATAGCTGGTTAATGCTGATTTCTTACAACATAGTATATTTGTTGGAAACCACTTTCAGCTGTGAATTGATCAGTTTGCTCCTGTGTGAACTTCCAGCAGTAGAATAGTGTATTTGGGACAAAAACTCCAGAGCCCATGATCAGAGTAATACAGTTAAATGTCAGAGAGAGGACCTGTGTGGCTCGCTGATGTCTTTTTAATAGTTTCTGGACAACAAAGGATGTTCACGGCTCAGAAGATTAAGCCACAGTATATTAGGTTTTAGGTGCACAGGGAATATTAGTTAGTGCGATCAATTCATTGTCAGTTTCTGGCTTTTCATCGGATTTGATAATGACACGGAAAACAACATATAGCAGGAGTTATCTTTAAATCCCATGAAAAGTCAAGATATATTAATTTATAGGTGAAGTACGTTATTTTTCAGTGTCAATATGTAAGTCATGACACGAAAAAACACTTTTTCATCATTTGATAAAAATAATTATTACAATAAATGTCAGATTATTATTTTATTTTTTCTCCGGAGTGAAGGTTGTGGTTTTAAACTCTTCTTTGTGTGTTTGCACAATGTTAAGGCAACATATCGATACACACTGATATATATATATTGACCTTATGTCATTTTGCTGATTGCTTGTTGATGAACTCTATAATTCAATAAGTATTCAAATTGTTTTATTCCCCAGCCATGGATACACATGTTCATAGTTAATAGTCAGCACACTGCTTCAATCTACATTTCTAGTAACATTCAATGTCATAGCCGCTGCTCCGTACAGGGGCTCTATCCAACAGCCTGAACATTTTTCCCTACATCTCACTGACTTGCAGAAAAGAGGCTTCGGAACCATTTACAGGCAGAGAGTCACGGTACAAAGGTTTCAGCTCCTCACAAATTCACCATTCACAGTTTGACTCAGTATTTCTGCTATTTCATGAAAAGCAGTTTGTGCCTCACCTTTAGCAGGACGATCACCCCCTCCTGCGTGTCATCATCTGTTGTTATGTTGAACGTGCCGGGCCCGTCTCCGTCCATGATCCGGTAGTCCATCTCCGAGTTGGGGCCTATGTCTGCATCCACCGCCTTGATTCTCGCCACCACAGATTGCACCGGCAGTGACTCCGCCACCGAGTACTGATAGCTCTCTGAAAAAGAATGGACAGGAGCGGATGTTGGTAATGGATGTGCTTATTTCACTACCAGCTCCCTTCAGGTGGCTCAGATTCTCTTTTACACCCTTTCAGCTTTGATTTGTTCGCGTGGCTTCTCAAATTCATGTTGCATAACACACGCGGGTTTCAGCAGTGACACACGTGGGATAAAGTGCTTTGCCTTCACTTCATACTGCAGTACAGGCAGTGGGGAATGCAATGGAGAACTCCTATTTCTGCAACTTTTAAGGATGGAATCAGCTGCAGAGCTTCAGCAATGCAGTCTGGATGTAATGGGTTATCCCTTCAACCACAAAAAAAAAGAAAATGTGAGAAAGAAAATTACCAGGAGTCACAGTTAGATCCTTTCGGTACCTTTCAGAGGATGAAATGTCCACTCGAAGATTCTATTACTCCGAACCTCTCCATTGTGTTTCCAGAGCTTTTGTCTGACCCTTGGGATTTAAAGTACTCTAGTAAGAATAAAGACGGGAATCATATTCATAATCATAATCTCCCAATCACCATGGTAGAGCTCATTACCAGACCTTTCTGTGTTCCTCACAGTGTCTCCCTCAGCCACTGTCTAAATGCTAATCTGCCTGACATTGTTTGCCGCCATGTAATCTTTATAATGGCTTTTTAATTTGCCGTGGAATAGCAGCTCTTTAAAAGACCAAAAAATTGCTTTCCTCCCTCCGTTTTGCCCCTGCGCACACACACACACCCTCAGCCTGTCCTCTCCTGCATCTCTAACCTTGGCTGCTCTCCCCTCATTTCTTCAGAGGACTAGCTCTTGCTCCTGGACTCTATCAGCTCTGATGCTCCATAATGGTCTATCGATTCTGACCCATGACCCCGCGAGCGCGACAGCAGGAGCCAAACCCAGAACTTCTTCGCAGAGTGACAACACTAGGTTAAAATGGCATTGACGACTTGTTGTGCGAACTTGAACCTGTCTTGCCTCCCGGGGGCCGGCAAATTGACTTGGCTTCATGGCAGTCCAGCGGTGAGTGCAACACCCAGACAGTGGTCGGGCTATCAGCAGTAAACCGATTGCCGGCGCTTCGGATTATCATGAGAAGCACTGCATGCCTTTGAATCCTAAAGCTCGGCCTGGAACCCATTAGCTGCCCGTGAAATAGGCTGACAACAAAAAACGGAGCCTGATTGATCCTGGTATCCAAGGCCGAAGCAGCCCCGGCTCTGATGAAGAGCAAAGCAGGGCTGTGCACACCTTGCAGGACGGCAGTTTTTTAATTTGGTCGTAAAAAAGTCCAGACGCAAAGTCGAAAACACAAATCCAGGGAAGTTACAGAGATGAATGGGGAATGGGATTAGGAACATGCACATATCCTCCTTAATGACGAGGACTTAATGAGTTTTGCTTCTGTAATGAGTATTTTCTGTTTAGCTTTATTCTATCACAGATTACAAGAAAAATTACACTACAGTGTTGTTACAGATACAATAATATTTTCCAACGACTTCTTTTTGAGGGCAGAACATAACAGCCGAGTCCTCTCTGTGAATTCATTGTAGTCTGCCCTCGTTTGCTTCTCTGGGTTCAAGTGTTTTTCACTCTTTAAAGGCCCGTTCAGCTGGAACCAAAACAAAAACACTGCAAATGAAGCAATAAGCTGCTGGTTTTTATTCTGATGCTGAGCAGCTGTTAAAAATGACGAGTTTAATTGACCCTACAGGGACAATCGGGGCTGGAGACTTACTGTGAGTGAACCGAGGCGGGTTGTCGTTGACGTCCGTGAGCGTGACGGTGACAGAGGTGGTGCCGGAGAGGCCTCCCATCTGGCCGACCATGTCTTTGGCCTGGATGACGAGCACGTACTGGTCCCTCGTTTCCCGGTCCATGTTAGACAGAGCTGTTCTGATGACCCCTGAGTAGAAATGCACAGGAAGGGAGAAGATGCTTTAGGGGTTTTAAAACATTTTTATTTGTCAGACATACCTCCATTAATACACCAACCAGCTCACAGAGATCTGTACTGTTTCTTTTTGTTTTTAGTCAAATAGTAATATCTATAGTTCCAAGCTTTAACAAATCCACTGTCAACTGCAGAGGCACCTCCTGGGGTCCAAAGGAAAAAAAATGTTTCATAAATATGTCATGTTCCTCTTGTTTTCATATGCATTTTGCTAGTTTAACTTCTATCACTCATTGTTGTCTGAAGTTTTATTCCCCACAGAGCTTTAAATGTCTCCAGCTCACTGTTGGTTGCTAATACTAAAGCATAACAGAGAATATCTAGAACCGGATCAAACAACTAGTATTATCACCCTGTGGTTGTGCGCCTTCATCAGCCAGAGTCAGTCAACTAACATTTACGATCCAAAACTTTGACCACTGAAATCTAAACGGTAATTTTTCTAGTCCAGCTGACAACTGGTCATAATTTGAAGAAATCCCCTGAAATGACCAGTAGTAAGTTCTGGAAGATTATTCCTGTCTAGAAATATGAATTCTGACCAGGAACATCCTGTTTGCTCCGACCCCTCAAGTAGCAATTACAAGAAAACACGACTCGAGGTTAATGGGGGGTGTCCATAATGGCTGGTGGTCTATTTACACAGAAGCAATGAATCGTGACTGGTGTGGCCTGAAATGTGCCGTCACTCCACTCAGTTTAGCAATCTGACATATGATGAGGTTAATGTGAAGTTAATGTCAGAGAAAAGAGCACAAGCAGGAGGATATTTTAGCCGCCAAGCGAGGTATCATCTGTCAGTCCCCCTGTCAGGGTTGATCTGTATCAGAGGAGGATCAGAGATGTGACAACGCTGACATCAAATGACTGGCATTTGTCTGGAGCTGTCTCTACCTGAGCTGCCGAATATACCAGCCAGCGTTCAGCCGTGTTTTCGTACACATGCACAAAATACTAAAAACGCTTGTCGGGGAAATCTTTTCATTAATGACATTTCTTTTGAATCTCGACTTTATCTCTCGACTACAAACATGATAATTCCAGGAAAAATTAACGCGGCGCATTTAAATGCAAAGAAAAATTCCCTAATCCTTCAAAAGCAATCACTGTTGCTTTCAAAGTTAATGACTTGCCACACAATGTGTTTCATTCATTAAATGGCACTTATTAAAGATTCCCACAGAACACGGAAGATTACTCATTAAAAGCCTCACAAAGCCGCCGCACACGGTTCCTGAATAAATGAAACATTTTTCGTGGCTTTATCGTATTCACAGCCTGATGGAGCAGATCAAAAGGGGGGAACTCTTGCTTCCAGTTTGCACCTGAAGAATTTCTCGCGATCCTTTAAATTAAACAGAAATTTGACGTGTAATTGAGGTCCATCTCACAAGAAACGAATCAAACCCCCCCCCCCCACTGTACTTAATTTGTAGTAACGTGTGCTGAAGAATTCTCTATCTGCTGCGGCCTTGACGAGGACAGAGAATAACCACAAACGTTTGGATTCTTATATAAATTAGATTTATACCTTGTTTTCACTCGAAGCCGCATTTATCAACATTTTTGAAAACCTCTAATGACTCTTCATATCATGGAATGTTGCCCGACCGGACATTTTCCAATCATCCCCCAACGATGACATGATTTTCAGCTGATCTACTAACCCAGGACCATTGACTTTAAATAAAGATGAACGACATGACCCCTCCCAGAGCATCTTGATCACCAGTATCGTTTATTTAAGTTATGGGGACTTGCTTTTTGTCCCCATAAGGAAGACAAGTCCCCATAGTGTGACTGTGTAAACAGATTTAGGTCCCCACAACATTAGTAATACTTGGAAAACACAGACACACACATAGAATTAACAATTAAATCCAGGAACAAAAGAACAAACAAATTAAAAAAAAGACGTCTGGAGAAAAATAAGGATGCCTCCTGACCGTCAATCTCACTGTACTTGAAAACAAACAATTCCATTATGGTGCTTCATTTTCTCTCTCTGCCATCTTTTATTAATGTCATTACAGCCCCTCTGGCTGAAAACTGTTAATGCTTTAACTAAATGGCTCAGTTAGCTGAATTACAGTGAGCTGTCCACTTCTTTTATCTAAAGTCCCCGCCAATGGGACGGCTGTGGTCAATAAAGCAATAATCTTTCACTGTTGCCCTACCAGACACGCCATTTCAGTCCTGCATCAAATAACGAACAGCGGGGACATTCTCACGCAGCAGAGGGAAAACACGGCGGCCGACAAAGTCAAAACATGTCACGATTCGAAAATGCAGAGACTTCAGGCATCTGTCGGTGGATATTTGCCCGTCTTCTCCGTTTATCCCTGACATCCTTCCTTCATACATCCATTCATCACTTCTCTGTTTCTTCCTCCACGGTGCAAGCTTATAGCCAATTAAAGAGCACCACCACTGCCCTGGTGCCTGCTGCTGTGACACCTGTGAACCCTGTTTACCACGTTGCATCTGAAAGGTTACATCAAGCCGTCGGTCGGCCAAGGCTCCCTTAATGCTTGGTAGACACAAACAGAACAAAACTTTTCTGTTCTCTACTCCATGCAACATCACCAGGGGGACGGAGCATGGATGTCTAGTCTTGAAAGAGGCTTCATTTAACATTCGGGGGAAGTAAAGGCTGAGGAGGAAGCTGGGTAATGGTTGGATTATAATGACAGCGGCAAAGCATGGCTCCTAAAAGGTGAAATAGAAAGATGTCAAGTCTGTGCAGCCGGCAATGAGACAAAGACTTGCTCTTACTAACCCATAGATTGGCTTCACACACAACTGATATACTTATTTAATATCTGCTTGGTGTGTTGGCGCCTGAGAGATATTGGTTGTGGTTAATGATGCCATGAATCCTGATTCTAGCACAGACAAAAAAAACACAAAGAAAAGAGGAAAAACAGCGACATGTTTCTCTTCCCGTCTGGCCAGGAGCGCACACTTCTCACAGAGCGCTGCTGCTAATCCACCCGGCGATGTTACAAGGCTGTTGTTTGTCTGCTGGGTGCCAGCCCCCTCGCTCTCTATCTCTGTTACCCCGTGCGGCGCTGGTGTCATTCCTGGGGAGAGGCGATGATTAAAATCCTTCTGTCGGTGTAACGGCGCAGCCTCGCCTCTGCGCTGTGACTCCTCGCCTCCGGTGCAAGCCAGACGCATTGTAGCCATGCATTTATCTAGCTGTCTCCACAACACTGGCGGCAGACGGGTGGGCCACGCTCCCTGCTAAAGCCCAGATAGTTGACATTTGTCTCGGTGAACACGAAATAAAGAGTGCAGACATTGGGAGGAACCCTCTGGCTCTGCGTGCAGCTATGAGAGGTGCTGATGAAGGTGATGAACGCTCAAACGTGAAGGGTGCGGCGGGTGATTTGCTGGAGCCTCAGGCGGTCCACTTACAAGGAATAGATCCCATAACACAAAAACAGGCCACACAAACAGGGAATAAAACCTCCGGCACAGGTGGTTTATTACCCAGTGACATTCAAAGGATCACGCTCTAATCACGGGTCACATCAGTCACCACACTGCACATTATGGGGGTGTGACGATCTATAAATGTGTATATATGTGCGTGTACAGAGATGATTGGTATATACCTACCTAGATATATGAAAGGACCCCATGGTGCTACAGGAAAGATGTAATTCAACCAGCACATTGAACATAAACAGCATTAATTTGTAATATTAAGTTGAAAGGAAGCTTGTTCGTCGTTGCACATATATATACGAGCCTGTTGTGTTTGTGATTAGAATGAAAAAAATTGCGCCCTCCTCTCTATATTACCTGTCTGAACAGCAGGAGGCAGCCAGATTTATATCTAGCCTTCAGCTGTAATGCTCTCGATTTAGTGCAGGCGCCACAACAACAGCGTCTCGCACACGGCCCCCCCGACGACACACAGCTTCAAAAATGAAGGAAAAGAAAAGCACACGTGATTCTAAAAAGGCCACGCTAATATCTTAATCACATGCTGATCACAGCCGACCGCTCGCCTCTGTGCCTCAAAAAGTCTTTCACAAGAAATGTCACGTAACTAGCCGGAGGCGTCTATTGAGTACACAGTGATTGTTCCATGGCCTTTTCCTTTATTATTCAAGATTTTCCAGTTTAATTAGATTCTCAAGTCCAGACAAGGCTCCGTCAGTTCATCCCTCCATCACCTGAGCACCTGTCAGATTCTCCTGTCATTTTGAGAGACAAGCCGTGTCACATCCTAAACACACCCCCTTCAGAATGTAATCAATACTCTCACTTAGGTAACCAACTAAATTCTTACTTTGTTATTCCTGCCGTTGAGGTTTATGAGCGTGCACGCTCCGCAGCGTTACCGTGCGTGGCATGATTGTCTCTAAGAGGACTCGCCACATCGCCGAGATGCACGGAGCTGGAAGCAGCTGTTCAAACCTCCTTGAGCCTGCCATCAATTAGAACGCAGTCCTCAACAGCATTACCATTTCTGCTTCACCTTCAAACCAAACGACACGCTATCAATCAATATATATTACAACATGCTGTCTTAACCGAACACCTTTAGGCACTGCAACATGTATTTTTGCCGACGGTATGCATTGCTCGGAAGTTACTGGAGCTATTCAGGATTAAGTACTTTTCCCAAGGGCACCTTGTAGATTCAATTTGGGATTAAGAACCGGAGTAAAGGCGAGAGAGAGCCAGGATGCTACCCACCAACACTGGGTCGGACGCGTTCTCCTCCCCCTCTGACCATTAGCCCTCTGCCACTTAATCGCCAGTGCAGTATTGCAGTGTGCAGCTTAGAGTGTATTTCAGCTCAGGCACTTTGTCAAAGTCACTCTCTGCTGTGGCCCAGGCTTGTGCTGCAAATGGGACTAATTAGTAACGTGCAGGGAAAGAAGTGCAGCGCTCATCCCACAACGCTCAATCCAGGGCCGGGGTGCAAACGCCGGTGTCTATATTCTGTAAGATGCTTGGTATTGACAATATGTAAAAAGAAAATGGTTAACACAAACAATGTGGTCCCTTTCACAGCCAGCACTGAGGGCGGACACGGTATTTAACACCTGTGGAATGTAAATTCATTTAAAAAGGACGATTATCAAAGGGACAGAAATAACACGATCCTTCTCCTCTTAGAAAGAACAAGAACAAATTCAGCACTAAAATGCTCTCAGACTCAGTCCAGTTCACTGAAGCAACCATATTATGGCCAGTAGCCTGTGGTGGCTAATGTTTGCAAACTATTGTGTAACCGACATTATTGCCTCTGCCAAGGAGGAAATGTTTTCACGGGCATTTGTTCGCTTGATATTCAGCAGGATTACGCAGAAAACACTGGACAGATTCCCACAAAATTTTGGAGGAAGGATGAGGTATGAGTCAGGGAGAAACTGTGTCCTTATTGATTTCTTTAACTGTCTTTAACATTGTGAGACTTTTCTTTTTCATTTGCATTGATTTCCCAGGGAATATTTCAGGAAGCCAGGAATATTATGGACACTGATGACTGAGTTTGTGTAATTTGATGCAGATCCAAATAAAAATCCTGAACCACTGAACACCACTGGTACTGCCTGATGACGTCTCTCATGTTTCATCGCCTCCCTGTGTGCAGAGTGTACATGTACATGTAGTCCAGGTCCTAGAGATTAACTCTGGTTAGCACAATGGACTGCGAGAGAACACCGACCACTTACAGTCAGCAATTATAACCTATTAAAGCTTTTGAAATATAAACATCGGGATTTAAAGAATCCACTTAGCTTAATGAAAAACACGTCAGCGGCTGAGGCTGTGAAAGTGTGAGCTCTGAAGAAACATGATATGGGAGTAATTGGGTCTTTATGGGGCCGACGTGCTGTTTGAACGTCACTTAAGTAAATGCCTGCTCTTGTAGTAATTGGCATCTGGGTCGCAATGTCTCAGTTGAGACGACTCATCGAAGGGTTTGAGTGTTAATGCAAACTTTGTTAACAGATCATTGAACGCCCACAGGCAGGTGTTCGAACTTCAACTGATTCTGGACCAGTTCATTTTTCTGCTGGATGCTAAATACCGAATGAAATAGTGGCAGAAATGACTGTGCATTAGCCATCACCACAAATCCAATATATACTGTATTTTCAAATGAAATAAGTCAGTGGTGAGTTTATAAACGGTGCCGCTGTGTTAAAAGTTAATGACACTACAGGATCTTGGTTTTTACAGGAAACCAGCAGAGCATTTTCAGCAGCATAAATTTTTATTTCCCCAAGGCAGCTCTTCTTGAAAGGTAACTAAATGAAGATGAAGACGAAGGTAACTGAGTGGACACTTTCTAATATTTCTCTCAATTACCTTTTCTGGGAGCGGGGGGGTGGCGGGGGGGGGGGGATCATCAAGAAACGTATATAAACCAAAAGAGACTTCGTAACAATGCTGCTATGAAAACCTCCAGGATTTCCCCACTGACACTCAAGTTAATGCTCTATAAGCTCTCTTTTTTTATTTCTTTACATTCAGTATTCACGTTTCCCCTGTCAAACAAGAGAGCATGTCGTCACGCTTCGCTGCGTCGGGTCTCACGGGGAGTCCCGCCTCTCCGACGGCCAATCAAGCTGTTCACTTCAAACCAATACGCCATTTCTTAACCTTAGTCGTGGTCGGGGAGAGATGGGCAGGACACGGCCGAGGCTCTGGCAGGGGCCCAAGGGCTGTATCTGGGTGCACATTTAGCTCTGGTGTGTGCGTGTGTGTGTGTGTGTGCGTGTGTGTGTGCTTCTGTGACAGGTTAATAAACCAGCCATTGTCCCACAGAAAGAGCACCGATGTGGGATTTATCTGTGTGCTTAAAGTTTTATGATTAAAGCTACACTAAGCAACTTTCAACACTTAAACGTAAAAATCACTGAGCAGACAAACCTTTTTCAAAGGCCGACTTTTCCCCTTCGCACACATTGGGAGCAATTAAGGTCTCAGTGTCTTGCTCAAGGAAAAGTGGGCGGGCGGAGCAGGGAATCAAACCAACCACAAAACTCTACATTTCAATTGAGTGATGCTTTGTGACCCCTGGAATAGACAACTGTTTAAAAGTGGCCTACACCATAAAGTGATGATATGTCAGTAGTGTGTTCACAGCTGGTTTCTGCTGCCTTTATTGTTGAAGGTTTAAGAAACGAGAGGTAGGAAATCTAAAAGTTAGATTTAGATTAAACCAAACTCCTCTCAGGGAAGGTGATCACAGCATTCTAACACATTAATTGGCTCACAGAAGTTTTAGCTTCTAAGGAACCGTGAGGAATCCTTCAGTAAAAATCAAAGATGTACAGCCTCAGACATGGTCCCAGTGGATCTGTCATTTAGAGCATATAAACCATGTAAATGTTAGCCCCCAAAACATGGAAACATAGCAATGTTCCCTGAAGAAAGCTGCAGCGGGAGGCTTCATTAGTCGAAGGACTCTGGAAATGGAAAAACAACATAGACATTCCGTGGTGCTGTGCAGGCTTCACAGCTATAAATGTGCTGAGATTTTAATGCTCACATCATTTCCTCCTTAGCCACACACCATATCCTTAATATCCAAACAGTATGAAGTAAGGTCCTTTCTTATATGCAGTCATTTTTCTTGAATGCTCCATTTTCTTCCAGTGGTTAGCCTCACCAAATGTTGACAGTGACCCCAGCAGGTCACCGTGGAGTTTTTATCATCACGCATCCCGCTAATTTATCGTACGATGAGCAACATACAGTTAATCCCTGCATTACAGAGGCTTTCATCAGCTCATGAATCAGATACATTCAGGAAATCCCAGCATGCAAGGCTCTCGAAGCAGAGGATGAAGTCTGATATTCCAGGATGGATGGCCCATGTTTTTCTGTTTTCTAGCGCTTTGCATGAAGTAGCTGAGCCTCGGCAGGGGAGTGGCTAATGAACCAGCGGTGAAGATGTAGCGAGGACTGCTGCCGCAGTTATCAAGATACGACAGCTCTCAAGTCAACAAACTCAAATCTTATCTGCAGCTTATTCTAGCACTCTTCTCAGTCAGAGCTACAAATAACAGTCATCTCTTTAACCTGGCTTTTGGTTAGATTTGGTTGATAGACATGATTTCAAAATATTAAAATGTATCCGACTGTATTGGTCTGTTTATATTATTAGTTTGTATTTTAATCCCATTTTTGGAGATATTTTTTATAGATATTATAGCTTTCAAAATGGCCTTTGACAAAGAAAAAACCAAATCCCAAAATATCTTTACCTTCATCACCACCTGTTTCACCACTTTTTGCAATTACCTCCCCATCACTGAAAAAAGACGCACCCACCTGTTTTGGGCTCCACCGAGAAGTACGGCTGTCCGTGAACGATGCTGTACACCACCCTGGCACTGTTCCCGTACGTCGGGTCATCTGCATCTGTGGCTGCCACTTGCACCACCATGGTTCCTGTGGGCAGACATGCAGCTTTCATTAGTTTCCAAGACAACATCCAGGAGCCAGGTCAAACGGAGCTAAATGTGGAAACAGTCATCGTGTCAACTGAGCGTGTGACAAATTTCACCAGACAGGAGAAAAGAAAAGGGGGCAAAGCTGAGAAAATGCAACTTCTGAGGCAGTATATCACCTAATTTTCATTAGTTTTCCTTTGTTGCGACTCTTGATTACTTTATTTGCATCAAATTTAACTTTTATACCTAATGTCTGAGTTTAAAGCAGATTTTCTACAGCACCAAAAGATCTGACACGTGCCGTGCGCTGGCTCTCGGCCTTGAATGCTGCAGAACAAATAACACTTTCAGCTGTTGCCACCGCGTGCGCTGACTCTGCTGCAGGATTCAAGAGCAACTCGGAGCCTTTAGAAATCATTTCACTGCCATTGTTCACATTTCTCTTTTACAGATCAGTAAGTAGAATCTCTTTTTCTCCAGTAACTTCAATCTGTCGATTCCGATTCAGCTGCCAAATGGCTCCTACAGCTCATCCTTGCACGTTAAAGAGACACTTCAACCCCAGCAAAAAAAGGAAATGCTGAATTATTATACTTTAACTATTTCTGGATTCAGACAAAGACTTGGAATTTCTCCTTCATGAGGATGCTGCATCCTTTCATCGTGACGAACTGAGCTCAATCAAACTTATGGTACAAAGCTTTATATAGAGACTTGGTTGAGCAAACATTGTCTTTTTATATAACCCTTTGTTTTCTCGTTAAAGTCTTTGTTAACGTGAACAGATGGCCGGGTCCAGTTTGTGGACTGAGGATCCACAGACTGCGACCAGAGAAGATGTTGATCTGCAGAAGAGAAACTATAACCACAAAAACAAAATGATATCTGCGAGAGGCAAGTTTTGCTGTCCTGTTGCACAAACACCTTAAGTGTTGTTTGTTTAGGACGCTCTGTTACATTCTGGTGCCAGCGAAAAGGAAATCAGCTGCTTTAATGAAGTGTTCTAGTTGAATGAATAAAATGCACTGCTTTTCAGATGGGTGAAATTGAATTTAAGCACAAATAATGGAAAGTATACACAAATAAATTATGGGATGAGCATGAAATGAATGTAAAATAAAAGAAGCCATTAAAATATCATGAATGAATCCTTAATTTACACCTGAAAACACAACAAGTACTTTATATAATTTAATTTCTTAGAAGGTGAAAACTAAACAGGAAATAGGAAGTATAGAAAAAAATATATTAATTAAATTAATTGAATATTGAAGTTAAGCATCTCTTAAATGATATATTAATATAATAATACTAATAACAATGTAATATAATACAAGTACAATTGTATTCATTTATTTATTTTATTATTTGGTTTCCATTGAATTGCTCCAATATTACTTATTGCCATATATCTATTATTTATTATTGAGTCTCAGGGACAAACTGACATCATGCTGTGCTGCAGATAAAGTTCTGAAACTCAAAATATAAAGTTTCGTGTTGTGTCGAGTAGTTTCCCCCCGTATCGCAAAACTTTCCGGCGGCTTAAAGAAGGATATTTGTTTTTAAACTGGACCGAGAACTTTGCTGACAACTGACAAACGATTGTTTCTGTGTGCAGAGGAGTTCTGTCTTTCCTCTGAGAAAGAGAAGCAGGCATCAGACATGACTCTCTTATAAACGTACCAACTGCACGTGGCTGACGTGACTCGAGCTGACAGCCGTGGCTTAGAAAAGCGTTTGAAGTTTTCACAGAGAAAAACATAATCAGTGCCAATCAATTTCAATAGGTCATTCATTAAGGTACAAATGAGCCTTGTTGCTCCAACCAGGCTCATTTCACACTAACAGGTCGTTCTATTTTTTCTCCGACGTCAAGGAAATGATATTCATCTGATAATGGAGGAAAAGCCATGTAATACATTGTTAAATGATCACAAACAACCATTATGATGGAGGCTATTTTTCTCCGGTAGACTGTGCGTCAGTGACGCTCTTAAAGCTGACGCCGAAAGTCGTCTCACACTTGGCAGCAGTGAAATCACCAACAATGGACATTGTTGAAATAACCTTGAAAACGAAGAAACACCATTTGCCTTGAGTGGGTCTTTTCCAGATGGTTCGATGAATAACTGGCTTATGCCTGAATAATTCACTTTAATGGCTCGCGGCACATATTGTATCTGGCTTAGCTTCAGCTCATATTGTTGCATCTGACAAGTCTTACAAGTCGGTGATATTTTAACTTGAAGAAAACATCGTAATAAAAATCTGACTTCCTAGCGTGAGATGTATTTTACAGGCTTTTACAGAATGAAGTGATCACGGAAATAGAAGATTAGAGTCCTTCATTCTGGCCGTAAAGCAGAATTAACAGGCTCCGGCTCTGGATGTGAACAAAGGGACTGGGGAAGGATTATATCACCACCTCTTAGTCATGACAGGTTATATTACAGGTAGTTTAAAACACCAAACACAGAAGAAAACATAACCATCATTCCATTGGCCATCAGGCGAGTCAGTAGACCAATCACAAACGAGGGTTTTAGTTGTCTCTCATCAGTCAGATCTTCTCTCTGGGTCGGTTACCGCTTTATATCGCCATAGCTACCTCCGAACTTTTCACCCTCAACAGATCGCACATCTAACTAACATCAGACTAACGGATTCTGTCCAGAGTGTAGTCGTGATTCAGTCCGTACAGAGGAGTCACAGATTCTGGACGATTACAACATGTCGTTGAAGTAGATCGTTCCAGATCGAAGCAAACATTGCGGGATGTATTTTACAGGCTTTTACAGAATGAAGTGATCACAGGTATTGAAGATTAAAGTCTTCCATTCTGGTCGTAAAGCAGAATTAACAGGCTCCAGCCCTGGATGTGAACAATATAATGCAAAAAAAAAATAAAAAATGGGGGTGAAGCTGGAGAAGTTATCACCGGGCTGGTTGTAGAAGGACACCTAGATTATATCATCACCTCTTACTCATGACAGGTTATATTACAGGTAGTTTAAAACACCAAGGTCAAAGGATGAGTGTGTGAGAGGGAACTCAGGCAAAGTCTAAATCTCCATTACAGGTTGATAGTTAAAATCACTTCACACAAGGCGCAGTGGACGTGGCTGTAAATTAACATTCAATATGGACTCGGATGGAGCACGGCAGTGAAAAGGTTTATTTTCCAGCTTTTCCCCACAGGTCCGTCCAATGAACACCCTGTTCTAACAATAATGTCAGCATATGAAAGGTAATGCCTGCCAGGTGAGCTGGATGTCAGGAAAAACTGATGAACAATCTGAAATTTGAATAGATTCTTTCTGCTCCGAGAGGCTGTCATCTGCTTCTCAATTTTCCCTGTCGGCGTCCCTTCGATATTTGTCCGTCCTCATTGACGTGATTGATCAGATCTCCACATATTTTTTATTTTATCCCCTGCAGCTGTGTACAAAACAGGTTTCCTAATCAGTTCTGTATCCTGGGTGAGCAACTGTCATCTGCCAGTAATGAAAATAAATGTGGCGTGCTTAATCTGAATGGGAGACAGGTATTCTTCAGCCACTCGCGTATCAAGGCTGCATCTGACTGTCAAGCCCAATATGCATTTCTGAGTGAGCACTCACAATGCAAGTATGATTGTTCTGAGGAATGGGACCTGTATTAATACAAACTGGATGTGTTTCCAAATGAAGGGCTTCTTCTCCTTCTGCAGGTAGAAATACAACAATCTTTTCTTTCGACTAAAGCTGGGCTCAGCAGTGGCAAATCCAGGATTTCTCTAAATCAGGAACATGAGCCACAATTTCACCAGAGGCTCTGTTACTAACAGACCGAACATCAGTCCCAAGGTTCTAGTGAAGATTTCTGCCCGGAGTCTCAGGCGGGGCCGAATGGGGTTTTAATCAGCCCAAAATCCCTGAAGTCCGATGAAAGGTGAGCAACTTTGAAACCAACCTTGCCGGAGATGTGCGCTCGAGCCCCGAGACCTCGAGTATTCATCGAAGGGAACGTTTATTAAATTGATTATATTCCTGTTCCAGATAAAAATCACTAGGATTATTTCATAAAATAATTTTCTGCCAATAGATTCACTTCACCTAAATCATGTTCATTTAGATACATTTACATTAATCCAGAGCACCTTTCATTTCTCTAGAATGAAAGACTTACCCTGTCCTTCATCTCCGCTCTCATGAATTAGGCAGGGACAATGACAGCTGGCTATAGGACTGGTGTGTAGTAAATTCAGAAGCTGAGGCCTTGGGTTGACATTACATCCTCTATGCTTGTAATGAGCCCTCAAACTGGTCCTTTGGCCTGTCGCTGTGCAGCGGGACTGAGCCAAGGCTCGCGATTGTCACACCTCCAACTGTCCTCAAGCTCTCCTGTCTTTTATTTGACATCCCTGGCGTGATTAAGACAAAAGCCCTCAGAGATCCTCGGGCCATAAGGTCTGCGTGTGTGTATGGACGAGCACCGCCTCTAATTACTTTAATTAATTAAATTCATGATTTTCTCTAAATTGAACCCATTCATCAGCAGAGCAGGGCTGTGACCATTAATGATTTAAAGACATCTATAAAGGAATTATTGAGGACAAGAGGGGCTCGATCCTTCCCTGTTCTTTATGGCATTGATAATTGCTTTGAGCAGATATTTACAAAGAGAAGCAATGCATTGCCCCACTGTCCTCACAACTTGTGATGAAGACCTTCACAGAGCCGGCGGAGTAAATAAAGCGGTGAGGGTGACCCTGCGTCTCGGTGCTCGTGGTGTGAACGCATCCTCCTCTGTACCCACTCGCTGTCTTATCTCGGGTTGGACACGAGACTCCAAGCCCTTGTACTCTAATCCTCTGGTTCCTTAAGCCTGAGCTCTGTACCCCCCGCTGACAGTCGGCTGTGTAATCCTTCAGAGATCTCCGCGCCTGTGTTGTAAGCAAAGCACTGCTTCCCTTGGAACGACTCCCACTCCCCCTGTATGCCTGCTGAAATTTTCAGTTTGACTTTGAAGCTTCTAAAAGAGCCATAAACACCTTTGTTTTCACTAAATTTCATGGTACCACGCATGTTTGAGTTAGATTCTTAAACTCTGTGTTTATACATTACTGCATATTTCACACGTAGAATCTAAACCAGCTATAATAAAAAAAAATATATATATTAAGAATCAATCACACTCTATGTGAAAGAGGGTCGCACAAAGTAATTAACCCACAGAGAATTGTCACCTGACGCTGCAGCTCCCCTCGGCTCTATATAAGCTTTTATGGCCTCGTTGTTTTGGGTCTCTTTACGGTTTCGCTTCGCTCTCATTGTGTCATTTCCAACGGCAGCAGGCGGCTGACTTCAGCTGACGCACAAAGTGGCCAAAAAACAACATGTCATCGCAGATTTAAAGAGCAACAACCCCCGGCTTCATCTTAAAAACGCCCCCTTTGAATCGATATTAAAAACAATGCATTCAGATCTAGAGCCTCGTGATTGAGACCACTTCATTCAAAACACGTCGGAACCCGAACTTAATTAGCAAAGGTTAGCATGTTAACATTCTGAGCTAAGATGGTGAACATGCATCGATGTGAACATGCTAGTATAAGGACTTTTCTACTTAGCTGAAAGTGCTACTGGAAAGACTCCAGCACCACCTTATGGCTGGCTGCAGTATAGGTCATAAACCCAGCCTCCTCCATGTTAATAATTGGGACATGGACCAAATCAAACAATTGTATCAGAAAAATGATTTCTATAATTGAAGTTAATTTATTAACAAATCATTCCATCACACAATTTAAAGGATAAACCTTCCTGAAGCAGTTTCAGAAAGTGTTCTTGAAGAGTTTCCAGAGCTGCATTGTTTTGGGTCTTTTTACGGTTTCGCTTCACTCTCACAGCTCCCATTGTGTCATTTCCAACTGCAGCAGGCGGCTGATTGGAGCTGACACACAAAGTTAGACAACTGGATGGTGAACACAGTGCAGCGTTTAGCAGCTAGAGAACTATATTTCCCTCAGGAGGTAGCGGGGACCAAAACAGATCTACACAGAGAGACATCCTCACGTCAAGTGGTCTGACAGACCCAGTCCAGACGAAAGGTTACTCCATATCTGCTGGATGTGTAACTATAAAGTCTGCTGAGCTTAAAAAGGTGATAACTTATCAGAGGAATGTTCACAGTTGCTTCATCATTTGTCAATTATTGCATTGTCACTTTAAATATTGCCTCATTCATCAGAACTATCATGTGTAAATATATATATATTCCTTCATATATTCATAATTTATTCTTTACAGATGTTCCCTTATACCTTCTCTGGCATATTTTGATAAATATTGACAGATTGTGTTTATAACTTGACTAAATTTGAGAAGAAAATTTACATTTTTCCTGAGGGAACCGGTTGCTCGGCCACAATTCTAATAAATTATTATTATACAGACTGCAAATTGCACTGCCTCGTATATTAATATTTGTTTGTGTAGAGGATCTGTATCGCATATTCTCTGAGATGATTCAAGGATGCAAGGAGCCTCTGTATTTTCACTATGAAAATTCAACACCTGAAGAAGTCTTGAGAAGTAATCAATATCCTGAACCACTCAAGAGGAAACAACTACGATTCATTCTTCACAAACAGCTCCGGGTTTGACGTGATCTAAAACTTAATGCTTGTATTTTTTTTTTTTTAAATCCATTGAAAAGACCATATCATCCTTTTTCTGTGGGAGTTCATGTCTGTCTCCATCCCATTAGTCTCAGCTCACTTGTGATTAGACCACAGTTCCCAGCACGTCTTGAAGCGCCGTCGGAACCCCTTAGAGAAGCTGGAGGAAGTTAAGTATGTCTGTGCTGATCCGCTCACTCTGCTGCCACCGAGGAGTGCCAACATAATGGATGGATAGAAACGTATGTGTCGGTGTCAGACATTTTTCAGACACATTTTCAGCAGGCGGGTACCTGTAAGTAGCGGCGAGCATGAACTCTGAGCCCAATTTGTGGAAAGAATGCCCGTGGCCTTCGAGGCTGATTCAGACCCTAAGTTTGCTTGACTCAGTTTTCAAACATGCATCATTCATCAACACTTCTAAGCCTAGAGGACTGTGCTGGCATATGTGAGGTGATAAATATGTAAATTCAGATGCATCAGACTTCACATTACAATACACTGAGTCGTCTGGCTGACTAAAACCACCGGGAAAAAACATATTGAAAGCATTTTATGCTCAGCACCTCCCAGTTCATGTTGACCGAAATGTTGAGTTTTACATCAGTGTTTTCAAAGTCATGCTGATGGATTGGTCTGTGTGGCATGTTGGGGTCTACATATAGAAAAGTGCATCAACATGGAGGGCACTCCTTCTCACTGCAGCCGGTTACTAACACACCTGCTGAGTTGAAAGGCCTCAGGATGTTGTTGTCGCTCATTTGCATTTATGAAGCTCGAGCATGTCATGTTCAAAACCTTGGAGGAAATCTTGACCACGCAGGCTGTTAAAGGCTCTGATATGACGGCATGCTCCAGGAGTGCATTTAAAACAGACAGATAAAAGACACATCTGCTGTAATAAATGCTAACAAGGCCACAGAAAAAATAAGACCTGCTGGTTGGTGTCCATATCATATATAATATGTCAACGACTGGATGGACTGCTCTGCAACGATTCCTGAAATGCCACCACAAGGTTGATGCTTGTAAATATGAGGTAAATATCTGAGCAGTCATGTTCCACACAAGGTAAATTGTAAAAATGTATTTTTTTCGATACCTCTGCACTTCGTGTAGTTTTTTTTTAACCTACAAACTAAACTTGCTACTTCATTCCTATGACTTTCTTTTCAGTAAAATACTCATTCATCAATCACAGTTTAAAGGATAAACAACCTTCTTTAGTCTTTCCAAAGCAGTTTCACAAAATTAATGAGTAACAGTAAAAACACTGGACAGAGTGCAGATAAAAAATGTCTTATTGCTAAATATAAATACACATAAGTGAGTCATTTCATTTATCGCTATGTATAAATTGTACGTTAATCAAATTGAAAACTGAACTCGACAAATGACTCTTTAATGTTTACAACCTGCTTCATGTTTTGAGACCAAAATAAATTCCTGATTTTCGACCCACAATGAAGCTAATGTATATTTCATCCTTATTTGCCCCTCATCTGCTTATTACTACGTTAAAGATGGTGAAGCATCTTACTGCTGATAACTCCAGAAGACTCGAGAGTTGCAACTTTAATAAAACGTATTTGATTTCTTTCATTCCATGTTTTAAAGCTTTTCACTCCCAATATTATTTTCTGAATGGCTTAGAATTTCTCAATGTGCTTCATTTGCTTTTCTTTGTCTCAAGTTCAAAGGGCATCTTGGCAGCTCAGTTGTTGTTTGTCATCATTGCTTTTAAAAAGTGAATCTTAGGTATTGAAAAGGTCGAAGGCCTCAAAGGGAGAGAGACGTCCGCAGCGTTATTTATCTGTGAGGCACAAAGACGTCAATCAACCTGAATAGTTTGGCTAAGAGATATCAAATTATGTACAAGGAGCTTCATGTGCACATTATGAGTCTTACAAAGCCAACGCCCTTGATTATGACCTAAAGACTGAATGAGATGAAGACAAATTGTGGAGGTGGAAAATGATCAAATGCAGATGTTGGAGCGAAGGTAGGTCAAAGAAAATGTAGTATTTTAGAAGTATGAAAGGAAGCTGAGAGGAGAGATAAAGTTCAAGGGAGGAGAGCATATAAAATAAAAAGAGGGAACGGTGATGAGATTATATTTGAGACGAATGTGGAAACTTACCTAAGGGTGACATCTCAGGTACTCCTGCCAAGTACGGTCCATCAAGAAACTTCGGCTCGTTGTCGTTGATGTCCTGGACTTTGACCACGAATTCAGACTTCGGTTCCACGGGTAAATTAGTGAGTCGATCTACAGCTTGAGCTTGGAGGGTGTAGTAGGCCTGCGCCTCACGATCCAGCCGCTTTGTGGCATGGATGTCGCCCGTGTTTTCATCGATGGTGAAGATGGAGGCGGCACCCTCGCCAGATAACACGTACTTCACTTTGCTGTCTCCTTTGTCCACATCTGAGTGTAGCTGTTGGAAGAAAAGACAACATCAGCATAAAGGTGAAAATACATGAAAGTAAATCCTCTGTTGAAGGAAAAATATATTAGTGGTAAAAAAAAGACCATAGACTGTTTATAACTTGAACTGCAGCCAGCCACCAGGGGGCGATCAGGATGCTATGGCTTCACTTTTGCGGGGGCAGTCATGGTGGATATCTTACACTAATGTGAATATTTTCACCATTAAATTCAGCTGTGTTTTAGTATGTATCATTTCCCTCATCCTATTTAATACAATAAATAAATAACTCATTAAATGCTACTAAATTATGTAAATGCTGTATAAAATATTTAATATTTACAGCATATGCATAAAACAACACAAGCAAACACACACCATGTGTATTAGACAAACATCCGAGCCGGATCAAAAGATCAGAGCGTCTGCGCATGAATGACACGAATGAATTTTGTAACTGATTCCCATCATGATTTGCATTTGGCAACAAATAATGGAACGAAGTGAAATGCTGCCACTTACTGTAATGCCTCTGTGATTTGTTGACTAAGGCACTGGCCATTAAAAATGATCAAACTAACCATTTCCCCTCCTTTAAAAACATACAGTAATAACTAGCTTGTCTCACATTAAAAATAAATACAGGAGCCGTTAGAAAAATGTGTTTTGATCAATAAAACAATGATTAATGTTATTTCACATTTTCTGGCCAGAGATACATTATTATTAATGTCAAGGTAAAATGACTCGGCAGGAAACATTCATCATTTACATTTTGCCGACGTTTTACTGCAGAGCGTTGAAAGAGTGCATCATAAAGCTGCACGGGGAAACGTTTTAAGAATATATACTGTACGTCTGACCCAACAGGGACCCGGGACTTTATGTAGTTCTTTGCTTGAATGGTACTGATGTCAGGTGTTGTAGAGAAGAATCCAATATTCAAACCAGTTCTTCCAAAGCTCTGAGTGAGTGCTCTGTTGAGTGACAGCTCGGCTCAGTGTTCCACGCTGCACTTCTTTTCATCCATTTTCTGCCCTTTGGTATGAAAGCAGTTGCAGGTGATTTGATAGACATGTAATGTTCTCTGTGCAATTTCTCAATGACACTCAGTTTTACATGACATCTGTATATTAAAGCTCAAATATGTTCAACTGTTCTCTCTGGTTGCTATTAGGAGCCAAGTGAAAAGAGGAGTTTATTCACTATCTGATGGCAGGAATGTATTCTGTAGGTTTCCGCAGGATCACGAGCACGAGTTGAGATCATGTACCAGGAGCAGTGCTGTCAGATCAGTCCTTTTTTTGATAACCAAATAAATCATCTCTCTCTAAAACTGGTGGGACATGAGTTCATATCGTCAAAGCAAATGTTTTTCAAATCAAAGAATGTGGGTTACCGCTGTGAATGTCAAGTTTTCGGCGAAAATATTAATAGACGTTCTTCCAGTGATCCATAGAAACGCATACAGGTCGACAAAGAAGTCAGACAAGATACATTTTTATCCGCGAGTCTCTGAAGTCACTACAACAACCCAGTGTTTATGACAGAGGTCTAATCTCAGAGGAACGAGTCACAAGTTTCAAGACGACTTTAAGACCCCTGTTCAAAGTACGACTGCAACGAAACAATCCTTGAACAACTCCAAAGCTTCTCAGAGAATTAAAACCACCACGACAAGGAACCAACCTTGACTGATGCTTTTTGAAGTCAAAGCTGTCTGATGGCCGTCGGTCTCTTCAATGCGTTGAACATGAGAGTGAATACAGAAACCGTCATACATCTTAAAGGAAGGTCGTTGTTGGTTATTTAAAAAGCGGACGGACGGACCATTTTCTAACTGTCAGCATTTAGCAGAGCACGTACTTCTATCTTTACCTCATCACCTCCAACACGACAAAAACACCTCAATTAAAGGCACCGCATGCAGAGAAAGCTTTTAGTGGATATTTCTTTCCTACGATTCTCAATATTTGGTGTGAAATAATTCAGCATAATGGAGCTGGAGCATCTTTACTTCAATAATAATCTCAATTTACCAAATGTTTTGAACCCTCTCAGCTCCAAACCAGTGATTTTAAGATCGTTCCACCTGCTTGTCTCTTTAGAGCCAGATGCTCCTCCTGCACAGCGACAAATGGTTTCCACAATGAATCAAACACCAAAGATCACAGTGCAAACATTGCAAAGTTAAAGGGATGATCCAGTGATTAAATGTCCAGAGTCAAGGATTTAGTGGAGAATATAATTCATAATTATGTTTTCATTAGTGAATAATCGTCTGAAACTGTTTGTTCATTATGTTAGAATCAGACTATTATTTACCGATCGGGAGCTTGTCCTCTTCAATGCAGTCTGCCATGTTTCACCATCATGTTTCTACAGTAGGCGAGGACGGACACAATAAATCTAAATCTAAAGAGGGCTACAACAATGATAACTCACTGAACTGACTGACTGCTGTTCACAAATATTTCACTAAGAAAGCAAAATGATTCCTCATCAACCTTTTATCATCCACATTTTGCCAAAGGTTTAATGCCGAAGCTTTCAAAAAGTGGCAAAAATGATTTTGCAGCGTATCACAGTTGGGATTTAGATTCTCAGAGCTGCACAAGGAAATTTTTCATATAGAAAATACTTTGGTCCCAAATGATGAGAGCTGCAGAGACAAATACAGCTTGCATAGGTTGAGATGGCTCCAATACTCCTTCAGCAACCTTTTGAAAACAGTGAGATAAACCTTTGTTCACTGAAAACATGCAAACTGGAGGGAAAACTCCACGTTCCAGGAGCCTGACAAAAACCACACTGGTCTAAAATGGTCTCTGTATCCTAAAAGAGCCCGAGGCTCTGTTGCTGAACTCTGAGTGACACCGGAGTGTGGCACTTTTGAATTGAGTCTGCACACAGGTCCTCCTCATGAACAGCATGTCATTTGGGTTCAGGAGTTCTTTGCTGTATTCCTGCCATTGCATGATCCACAATTTAGGTCAGCAGCTAACTACTGCTGATGAAAACTGTCACGGTAAAGGTCTGCCCCCTGCGTTTCAGAGTCAGCTGAATGTTTGCCAGAACCTCTTTGACGCTTGGTGATTTTGAACATCCTGACTCCGGCTGAGCTGGCGCTTACGAGGACAAAAAGTACAGTAAATGTGTGGCGCTGTGCAGAAATGCTTTGTAGCACGAGAATATTGACGGAATTCAAACTATTTTTCAATCATGATTAAGTTTTTCCTGCGCACATTGTTTACACTGCTTTTCAATTAAGTGCTGGCCCCTCTTTTGTTGGTTTGTTTTGCAGAGAAATAAAAAGCATTTCTTTTTTTAATAAAAGATTGTAGTCGGCCAGGATTTTTTTCGAATCTCGTCCTTCAATTTATCTGTAAATGTCAACATCTCATTACGGGATAAATAACAATGGTATTTCAGGTTCCCGGTCCACACTGCGGGGAGGGTGGAGGATGATTAGGTCAATATTTTATTGGTAGAACTGAAGGACGACATAGTGAACAGAGGATACAACAACAAAGGCCTTTTATTAATGGAATCTATCAGCCGGCTGATGGATGCCACCTTAGAACCACGATGATTGCACCACTTGTGTCCTGAAGCCTCAGCCTGCATATGCCACTCCTCTTATGGAGCTCGCCATGTTTATTCACCATCTCCTGCTGTCAGGAGCAGACTTGAGGTAAATTGTCAGCCGTGGAGAGAGTCAACATTTAATCACGAGGAAGCCATCCGTGGCAGTTTGTTTCCAGTAAATGCCACGGACAAGGAGGACAAAGCTGACGGGCCACAGAGCATGCAATGCGGGTCAAGGGCCATGCACACTATGTGGTCTTTTCAGTGAACTGTTTGGTTTGCTCCATTTCCCACTCTCCTGCAGAAGGACACACAACAGTGCGTAGAGTGGCTCCGGATATTCTATCTCTATATCTCATCAACACTGAGCGCTTAATAAAATATGCATAGCTTGGCAGGGATTAAAAATATACCCTGGTCAAATAGTTTTCTCTCTCATTAATCTAAGCTATTTTAAAACTGTCACTGCTCATTTTTCCAGGTGATTTCCCAGTTTCAAGTCTTATTACTTTTACTGAACACCACAGTTGCTTCCCTTGCAAATATGTAAATACTCAGTAGTTCTGTTCCCTGCTCCCTTCGAGGTGAGTGTGACGCAGCGTGCAGCACCTCGCCACACACCCCGCTCACAGGGACCCTAAAGGTGGGGTGGGATCTGAACACAAAACCTTGTGAAATCAGCGCTGACACTTATCGTCACTTTGTGTGCAGACAGTTCTCCGGAGAGCTGCCTGTTAGCTGTGTGCCGGCTTGTTTACCTTGTAGCAAGAGAGGCGAGTGAAAAGCATAAAAGAGCCCATAACAACCCACTGATGCATTCTTGTCCTGTCACCACGACTACTGCACAATGTGTTCAGGTACTTCTGGCTTTTGAATTTTCATTTTTTCACCATTGTGCTCGACATGAAAACTCGTGTTGGATGGTGTGAAATTCTATTTTGTTCCCATTTTACGCCCATTTGCCTCGGCTGTGTACAGCTCTGTAGAGAAGTAGAGAAACGCGGAGGCCTGAAATAAAACAACAAATACATTTCAATAACAAGGCTGAAACCCCCCAAACCATACATTTTACATTTCGTATGCGTGTCTCTTTCTCAAGGAGAGTCCAATTTCTTCTATTCAATGGACCGTGACCAATCCAAACTTGATACTAAAAGTAAATACCTACAGGCAACATTTTAGCAAACCTGGATGCTGGAGTACACTAACCCAGCCGCTGCTCGAGAGCCTTTAATCAACAATCGCCCTCAAGATGGTTTACAGAGCTGCAACGGCAGAGCTAGACAGGGTCAATACGAGCAAGGGTGTGCAGCACGAACGATTCAAGAATAAAATGCAAATTGTTTCATGCTGATAAATTGATGTTAACTTTGATGAACCTGTTCAACAAAAAACTAAACAAAGAAGCCTGCAAACAGAAG